CTCATGCAGTCCAATTTGTGCTGCCCATATACATGGGGTGGGGGACACCCAATGGAGCATAGTCTACACTATGGTGCCATAATCATAAAGAAAACACTTTTGTCCACTTTATTGGGTTGTTTTTCTATTATTTGGTGGTCCGAGCTCAATTTTGGATATTAATGTCTTAGCAAGTGCGTCGTTCACACACCTTCCCCAATTGTAGGCTGCTGCTTCACTTTCTTGATTGTTTCTCTGCTGGGCCCAAGCTTTGAGTTGGAGATCTACTCTTTAATTAGCCTGTCTTTTATAGCCTGAGCTTCCGGTGTGATATTCAAAGTACCCATTGCTCAGGCCGGTGCTCAGGCTTCCCTTCTGCCCTCTTCTGGAAGCGTTATGGCTCAGGACTTACAGTTAGGCTGTGACCCACTGGGAGCTGATTTTTTTTTTTTTTTTTTTTTTGACATCAAGGTCCAGTTTCCTTTCCTCCTTTAGTATTTTTATAGCATACACGACTCCTCACTACAGTAAATAGTTACTACTCCATATCCACTCTCTGGATTTTACAGGAAGCTCACCACCCCTTACCACCCCACCCCTTGTGAATAGTGTGTATATGCACTGCTATGTATCAATGGCAGAACTGTAGCCTGGGTACAAACTGGGAAGAATTATTTCTATCCTCATTCAGTAAATGCCAAAAATATAGAGGTAGAATTTAAGTTAAATTGGTTACATCTACGCAAACCATGACTATATTAAATAATAATTGAGGACCAGAAGAGATAAAAATATGGAAGAGGAAGCTAAGTGGGTTAGTGTTTACCTGTAATCCTAGAAATCAGGAGGGTGAGTAAAAGAATCATGAGTTCAAGGCTACCTGAGGCACACAGCCAAGATCAAGCTAGTCTGAGCTATGTAGCAGGATCCCACTTAAAAAAAAAATCAGTAGTTACAGAAGACACTGTCAAGCCTGATTCCATCCCTGTGGCTCACACAGTAGAAGGAAAAAACTGACTCCTACCACATGTTAACCATGGCACATGATCGTCTCCCTCCACACACAAAGTAAGTGAATGTTAAGTGGTTTTACTTTTTTAAAAAAATATTTATTTATTTATTTATTTATTTATTTATTTATTTATTATGTATACAGTGTTCTACCTGAAAACCAGAAGAGGGCACCAGCTCTCATTATAGATGGTTGTGAGAACTGAACTCAGGACCTCTGGAAGAGCAACCAGTGCTCTTAACCTTTAAGCCATCTCTCCAGTCCTAAAATGTTTTTTTTTTTAGATTTATTTATTTATTATGTATACAGTAAGCCTGCAGGCCAGAAGAGAGTACCAGATCTCATTACAGATGGTTGTGAGCCAACAACATGTGGTTACTGAGAATTGAACTCAGGACCTCTGGAAGAGCAGCCACTGCTCTTAACCTCTGAGCCATCTCTCCAGCCCCCTAAAATGGTTTTAAATAGAAAATAAAAAGATGAAAGAAGGGAGAATAACATAAATAAATTCATGTTTTTGAGGGTCAAATGTGATAAGAGGAGTTATAGGTAACAGAGATGGAAGATCACAGCTGCCCACACTCCGCAGTCAGAGTAGCAGCATTGGATTTCTGAGGTATTACAGGTCTCAGACCTGCTGAGCATGGGTCTCGTCCACTTTATGAAGTGTTGAGAAAGGAACATACTTCCGGTTGAGTGAAATACTGACTGGGATGCACCCTGGCTCCAGAGTTCCTAGAGTGGAGGAAGCAAGCTGGAGTCTATGTAAGGAAGGGGACACACTGCATCCTACCAGCAGTGATCAGCTCCTCAGTTGCCTCCTGGCATTTGTAATAGCACCAAGAGCTGGTCATCCCTGTAATGGTCTCGGCTTCACAGGAAGTAAGTGGAGGCTTACATCATCAAGAAATTGCCTAGGTCATGGAGCTAACATGGTTACCATGTCTGCAAGATAGGAGTGCTGTGGGATGGTCTGTATGTCAAATTGTTCTGATTGGTCAATAAATAAAACACTGATTGGCCAGTGGCCAGGCAGGAAGTAGGTGGCCAGGCAGGAAGTAGGTGGGACAAGGAGAGAGGAGAATTCTGGGAAGTGGAAGGCTGAGGCAGAGAAACACTGTGAGCCGCCGCCATAACCAGCAGCATGTGAAGACACCGGTAAGCCACAAATGGCGCCCAACGTGGGGCAAGAATTTCTACCTAAAACCTGAGAAAAAATTCTAAAGTGGAGCTAAAAACAGCTTCCTAATTGTCTCTCTCAAATGAGCAGCAGCTGCCGGTTTGAGCTACTGGCGGGTTCCTAGCGTGCGACTTGGTCTACAGTATGGCGGGAATGAGGCCTCTGCAAGTGGCACATTAAGCTGCGTGGTAGATTCAGCCTTTGCTAGTACAAAACAAAAACAGAGGTTTCTGGGCTACATGCTGCTTGGATAAAAGCATAGACCCACGATGGCTCCCAGAGCTGGCGGAAAATGTACCACTGCCATGTTGGGAAGCTGAAGTGGGCAGAGCCAGCAGCCACAGAACCGTTTCAGGCTTAAAAGGCTGCAGTTTAAAGCAATAGGCTCAAGGTAATATAAAACATAAGCCACATAAAGATGGCTACCACACAGAGAATCTGGATTATGTTCTCTTTGATATTTGTAACTGAAGAAAAACATTTGATTGCAAAAGCTGTTGAGTTATGCCAAAATGTGTATTTTAAAGGTACCTTAACTTCAAAATTTGGATGTAAGGATATGTTGCTTTGGAAAGGAGGCTCTGCTTTTGTTTCTACAGAAAGCCAGAGGCTATGGATTTGTTCCAGATTAAGATACATCAGGTTTCACCAGCCAAGACCCCCTGAAAGGTCTCCGATGACACCATGGCCCAGAGGATCCAACATCCAGAACCGTTTCAAGGCAACTGGCTCAGATGATGCAGCCTCACGGACTACTCCATGATCCTAAAATTTTCTTTGTGTCCCCATAAGATACAGTGCCCCCTCCAGCAGGAAGTAGTAAGAGAAGCTACACCCAAATTCCCAAATATACCAAGCTGGCTTTGGAGATGTGTAAAAGTTAAAACCTTCCTTTTTAAAAAAAAGAAAAGGGGAAGTGCTGTGGAATGGTCTGTATGTCAAATTGCTCTGATTGGTCAATAAATAAAACACTGATTGGCCAGTGACCAGGCAGGAAGTAGGTGGGACAAGGAGAGAGGAGAATTCTGGGAAGCGGAAGGCTGAGGCGGAGAGACACTGCCAGCCGCTGCCATGACCAGCAGCATGTGAAGACACTGGTAAGCCACCAGCCACATGGCAAGGTATAGATTTATGGAAATGGATTAATTTAAGCTACAAGAACAATTAGCAAGAAGCCTGCCACAGCCATACAGTTTGTAAGCAATATAAGTCTCTGTGTTTACTTGGTTTGGTCTGAGCGGCTGTGGGACTGGCAGGTGACAAAGATTTGTCCTGACTGTGGGCAAGGCAGGAAAACTCTAGCTACATAAGAGCCCTCAATGAGGTGTCCCTTTGGCAATGTGGACTTAGTACCAGTATTAGAAAATTTACATTTAGGATCATCTCAATAAACTCTATTTAAAGAACATACTACAACAGGACTGTCATAGCAAAAACTGTCAATATTCCTTTATATCACATGATATTTAATAATATTTAAAATCTTTGATTTTAAATGAATTCCCTGAACTAAAACTCACAAAGCCATAAGTTCATCCTTTCAAAGTACAGTTCAATGATTTTTAAAAGTATAATGATGCTGTCCACTTCACCACAACCTAGTGCCAGATTATCTTTATGATCCTGGAAGAATACATCCCATGACCATTACCAGTCACTTTTCATTTATCCAGAACTTTCTGGTCCTACACAACATGAATCTGTTGGTTTGTTTCTGTGGATTTACCTATTCTGGACATTTCCTGTGCACAGAATCATGTGATATCTGTCCTTTCATTACCTAACATATTTTAAGTTTTCATCTGTGTATGTGATTGTTTTATTTTATTTCACTTTACTTTATGGGTATGTGTGTTTGTGCACTGTGTGCCTACCTGACACTTGCAGACACCAGAACAGGGCATCAGATTAGCTGGAACTGGAGTTGTGGGTGGTTGTGAATCACCAACTGCATCCTGAGAGCCAAACCTGGATCCTCTGCAAAAGCAGAAAGTGCCCTTAACCCCTAATCCATATCTTCATCCTACTTCATTCTTTTCTGTGGTCAACTATTATTCCGCTGTGCTGGATATACATTTTATTGACCCATTCACCAACTGATGGGCACCATGATGTTTCTGTGAACCTTGGAGAGTGTTGTGGAATCCACATTCTCTGTGCCCTCCGGTCATGGACGGGGTGGAATTGCTGGGATGTGTGGTATCCAGGTCTGTACCTCCTAGAGGAAATTGAGGCTTGTTTTTCACAAGGGCTACATCATTCTGTCTTTTCAGCAGCAATGTACCAGGGTTCCAATGTTTCCACATTATTGCCAGCACTTTTTATTGTCTATATTAACCATCCCAGGGAGTGCAGAGTCATCTCATTGTGTTTTCATTGGTTTTTGTTTTTTGTTCTGTTGTTTTTAGTAGTTTACATATGGGCAAACTCTGTGATTTATATGTATGGCAGTTTGAATAAAAATAGTCCCCATGGGCTCATATATTTGAACACTTGGTGCCTGGTTGGTGGAACAGTTGGGGAAGGATTTAGAAAGTATAGCTTTGTTAGAGAAAGTATGTCACTGAGAGCAGGCTTGATGCTTGAGGTTTCAAAAGACACATCATTCCCCATGTTCTCTCTCTGACTTTAGTGAGCTCTCAACTATTCCTGGTACAATGTCCTTGCTCCCTGGACTCTAACTCTCTGAAACTGTAAGCCTAATTAAATATTATATATATTCTAATATATATATGTATATGTATACAGGTTTCCTTGGTTGTGATGCTTTGTCACAGCAGAAGAAAAGTAACTAAGACAATCCCCATCACTGTGATCTCTGAACAATCTGCTAAACTGTCTTTACAGCCCTATGTGATAGATCCAGTCCCATTCCTTCCCTGGGGCTGTCTGAAGATTGCACTGTGGAGTCAGTGGAAGGAAATTATCATCTCCAAGAGCCCAAAGGCAAGTAAATCATCCTTTTCATGGTTTATTGCATTATTACCAGGTCACTTGGTCAGGGATAAGAAATCGGAGAAATAAGAGACTCCGAAGAGACTCTCTGAGTTGTGCACAGCATTAGAATATGAGTCCAAGGCACAGCTTGCACCTACAATATGTCTTTTGATGATTTGCCCCATTCACTTTTAAAGCCAGGAAGGTGACAATAAAAAGACTCTGCATCATGTAAAATGACATGCTTTATTTTTCATATTTGTTCCCTCAAGAAGCAGCATTGCGAAGAAATAGCACCTCTGAAAGCCAGGGCCTGCATCATTCATGAGCTCTGCGTGGCTCTGGCAGGGAAGCAGATACTTCAGTTCTCAAAACTCAAGACACAATTTACCTTTTATCGGAGCCTTGTTGTAAATCCTGTTTGTACATGTGTATACAGAGCCGTTTTATATTAGATGCCTCGGCCATAAGAGATGGTTACGTGCTGCTGCTGTCAATCAGAACAAGACCCTGGTTCATAAAAGGGGGTTTCTTTGGATAAGAGAGGCCTAAGGGTGACAAAAGGCCACCCTGTTGCCAGCTAGTCTCAAGCTCCTAGCATTCAAATACCCACTGCATTAGTTAGCTATATGACATCCACTCTGAGGGAGGGGGAGAGAAAAGGACCCTGTAAGTTCATGTAACACTGACATTGCTGCTTTATTCTCTCAGGAAAATATCACCACATGGTCTTTATTTAATCCAAATCAACTTGTTGTCCTGTCTAATATCACTGAGTTTCTAGAGCTAATCAGTTGCACATATGGCTCCTTCCTTGGGTCCTTAGTGTGCGGCTTTCCTGAACATGCATTCAGCATCCAGTGTCTGGACGGCACCAAGCTGCCCTTCTCTCCTTGGTCTACAGCCAGCTGGAATTTGCCTGTTACCTGGACAAATCTGCTCGGGGAGACCATCACTCAAGCTCTCCTCTGCTTGAGGCCTTCATCTCGGGTGAAAATCTCCTTCCCACATCCCTGTTCGTGATCCACCGCTTCGGTTTCGTGGCCTGTGTGACACCCTCCCACTATGCAGTAAGAAAGACCAGGCCCTGGAGTTCGGTGTTTTCTTCCACTTTGATATAGTTAGAGCTTTCAGCTTGCGGTTTTTCCATCAGTATTTTTAGACAAATGGAAGCATGAAGATGGCTGCTGTTTACTACACTCTGTTTTTCACTTCCTCGGGCTTTCTATTTTTTTAAAAGAGTGAATGCACTAGCTTATTTTGAAACTCTGAGTCTGGCACAAGTCTCCATTTGTTCTCTTCCCTTCCAGGTACCACTTCCTCATTCTATACCTCTCTCTTGGCCTGCATGTTCTGTCAGTCCTGCTGATGCTGTGTTGTTGGATACTAGTGCTGGTCCCTTTCCAACAGAGATGATCATCTCCCCCAAACACCCTTAGAAGAAATACTCTGAAATTTAAGTTAAAACAGAACCAGGGAGTTGGAGAGATGACTTGATAAAGAGCACTGGCTGCTCTTCCAGGGGTGATTCCTAGCACTGACATCATGGCTCACAACTATCTGTAACTTCAGTTTCAGGATCCAGTGCCTCCTTCTGGCTTTTGCAGGCACCAGGCATGAATACATGAATATAGTGCACAGACATACACTCAGACAAAACAAATATATATATATATATATATATATATATGTGTGTGTGTGTGTGTGTGTGTGTGTGTGTGTGTGTGTGTGTGTATGTATGTATGTATGTATGTATATAATAAAATTAAAAATAGAATTTACCTTCCAAGAGCCCTGCATCTTCATTTCTTTCTTTAGAAGTCCAGCTTCCTGTGGGTTAGGTAAGTTTCATGTTGTTTTTTTTTTTTTAAAGGATATTTACTTATTTATTCTTGAGGTGGGCCTTCGCATAGCCCAGGCTCATTTTGAACTCTCTATGTAATCTAAGATGACTCTGGGCTCCTGATTCTCCTGTGCTGGAAGTATAGGCACAGGCCACTGGGCCCAGTTTGTGTGGGCCTGGGGATTGAATCCAGAGCTTGATGTGTGTTCTTCTGGTCTAGGCAGGACTTTACCAAGTGGGTGAATTCCCAGAATCTTGGTTTTGATCACCACTAATACCTGGGCTCCTGTGTGGTTGATGTTAGTCATCTGTGACACAATTTGACAAATCCTCTCTCTCAAATATTTCCTGTCTCAAGCTTCTCGTGCCCATGCTGCCCAGCTGCCTGACTAACCAATGGGACACTATAACCTTCTCATACTATGCCAAGAAGTACTCAGGAAGCCTCAGACTCCTACTACAACCCCAAGCTCCTTTTGGAGGAAAAGGACTTCAAGGTGCTGGGTAAGGTCAGATGGCTTGGGTAGAATTCAAGGGGGGGGGGGCGCCTTGCTATGTTGTGGGTTGGGCAGAGGGTGATTATCTGAGGGGCTGGTGTGGGAGCTGGCTGGGTCTGGCAGCCAGCTCTCAGTGTGGTCAGCAGCCAGCCCCACTTTCACAGTGAAGTCCCGAGTTGTTTTCAGGCCTCCCAGAATCTCCCATCAGATAAGGCCACTCTTTGTAGTGAACTAGCGACACCAAGCAAACAGACTTCAGAATCTTATCTAAACCCAGAGGAAAACAAGGTCACTTGCAAACCACAAATACCAAATGTCTCCTCTCTCAACTAACAGAAATGAAGACTGCTTCTTCCCGGATACACTCTTGCCTTTGCTCATAATCCTGGATGGACAGACATGCAAATCGGTCAAATCAAACATTCACTGATGATAAATCGTGAAGAAATTTATTTTAAAATAACTATTTTGTATGCATATAACTTTATTATCTATTAAAGACAAAAGAAAACTTACACACTAATGAAATGGTGTATTTGTCTAACACAGTACAACCCAAAGGTACACTAATGTGGTATGTGCTGAGAAATGAGGTGGAAGAAGCTCTTAAAATGTTCTTTTCTGTCATCCAATCCTCATGTCTCTGTAGTGCAGAAGCCTTAAGGTGTATAGTAAGAACGCCACAATTCGTAACATTCAGTAGTCTGGACTCTCAGGTGTTGCAGCAGCACCTGTGGTGCTGGGTGGCATGACAACAGTGTGTGCACCATGCAAAGTGTGTGCGTTACATGTTCAGAACCAAGGCAACAGTGAAGTCATGCAGTACAGCACGGTGCACACTTCTGGAAACAAACAGAATTTATCATGTTGAATTTAACTTAATTTTTGGACATTGCACATTCAGAAACATTTTTTGTTGCTAAATTTTTTGCAACTCCCACATTCAGTTATGTGACCTCATAGGGCCCATGGCCTGCATTTTAATAAGCTTTGATTTGGCTGGAGAATTGGCCTGGTGGTTAAGGCAGCTTGCTGCTCTTCCAGAGGACTGGAGTTTGGTTCTCAGAACCCATATCAGGTAGTTCACAATGGCCCAACTCCAGCTCCAGGGAATCCCAAGCCCTCTTCTGGCCTCCACAGGAACCCCACACACACCCGACAGACACACAAACATAAATAACCCCCACTACCAAACAATATCTAGTCCAGATGAAAACCCTGCTTCCTGGGGCCTTCCCAAGTCACCTGCACAAATCCTGTGGTAGTCCTGCCTAAAGCCCTCGTTCAAGCTGCCCCACCCTTTCCCAGGTATACATTCTACTCTAGTGAGGGGCGGTAAACCCAGCCCTCCAGCTCCAGCTTTACCTGGGTCATCTGTGATTGGAGCACAAGGACCCTGGGACGAGAACTCTCCTGATCTGGCTGAATGGCTCAGGTGGTTGTTTGGCAGTGTTAGGTGCTGGGCACACAGAGGGGAGACAGTGACTGGAATTCAGGCTGTAACTGGGTGCTTGAGGTAGTTAAGGTTTGCAGTGTTGAGAATTGCACAGGATGAGACCTTCTTCTTCTGGTTTCCTAAGGATAGAGAAGTAAGTCTCAGGGGCCTGATAACCTGTCCCCAAAAGGGGTGTCTTCTGTCTGGAATTGGAGAAGCAGTGGTATACTGCCTTGGATGCTTCATCTGGTATCTTGGCTTTTTTTTTTTTTTAACCATTTGAACATTATTTCCTCTGTGCTCCAGGCATTTTTCCAAACATTGCAGATACAGGAGCATGTCAAACTCATGAGCAGCTTTCTTGAGCCCTAGGATCTGTATAATTGCCCGTGAAAGACAATAAAAGTACCTCAGTCTGGAAAAAAGAAAAAGAAAATGTTACAAGGCAATGAATATTGCGTAGGCTGTCAAGTTAGACAATGTCAACGTTTTAGAAATTCTTCCATACTGGGAGATGGAAGTGAAGGTCTGTCGGGGAGGGGCGGGTTTAAGCAGGAATCTGAATATGGAGAAAGAGGCCACCACATAGAGATCAGAATGAGGGCATTCTGGGCAGAGCGAGCCCCAGTGACCCTCAGCTGAGCCATTGCCTCAGTGTGCAGCAGTGTTTTGTCTGTAAGTCATCGCCTTCAGAGTTACCCGCTTCTGACTTTACAGCGGCCCCGCCTCTAATTCCTGAGCACAACGGAAAGCTCAGCTAGGATGTCATTCCTCATCCTCAGGGCCATTTTCAAGCTCACAAGTGCAGTGGCAGGGGCAGCTTCTCATGCTCACACCACCAGCCCCCATCTCTCTGGGAAATCTTCCTCAAGGCTCAGTTCGTGGGCAGAAAAACAAATGCTAGCATGGTAAAGCACCTGTGTCTGTACCTGAAGCATCAAATATACAGTCTGACAAGTATGCTCTAGATCCCCACTCGGTAAGAAACGCAAAGATCAGGAATCAAGAACAGTCACAATACAGGATTATTTAGCACAATTATTTTCATGTGGCACTAGACCGATGATTTAAAAGTAACAAAGTGTCAATAACCATAACTACTAACATTTAACATTATTAAGACCTTACTATTCTCCATGCTGTATCTTTAAGTATTATTGAATTCTCCTGACCACCTTGGGAGATAAGTATTGTTATCATCTTTATACATGAGGGGAGAGAGACAGAGACAGAGACAGACAGACAGACAGACAGACAGACAGACACACACACACACACACACACACACACACACAATCTGTCTTCAATCATCCTGCTGGCAGGTGGTGAGGGCAACAGTCAACCTGGCCTTTCTCCTCCAACCCTGCACACAGACCACTAGTCTGAAGCATCATGTCTCTTAGTAGGTTACAGTGGAACTCTCTTTGAGATGGAACTGTTCTGTTTGCCAGGCTTGAGCTTGGGCTCATTGCTGCTCCCATTTCTGAGGGAAACCAGGTTCCTATTAGCCAGGAGGAGGATAGCAGTTTCAGACTCTTGTGGAGACTTTTTGGGGAGGAGCAAGGGAGCCACTTACTCCAGATAGCGAACCAATGACAGATCAAAGTAATGAGTCTGCCAAGGCCCAGTGAGGTGGGAGTTACTTACCGTAAAGCGTGGGTAGGGACTACTTCCAGGGGCATGGGTGACTTTAAGGCAGCTGCATCGCTGAAGTCCCGCTGCACAAAGATCGTAACCCGGGAAACCTGTAACCCTGGAGCTTTCTGCAGGACTTGCAGGGAGCTGCACAGGTCACGGAGCCTCTTCTAGGCAGTTCTGTCTCCTCTCTTCTCCCTAGCTACTGCTGACTGCTTTGACAACCTTGGGGAGCCGCAGTATCTTTCCAGTTTTCGACTCTCTGTACTTGAGAGGTTTGCTTACTTCCTGTATCTCAGGAGCCTGCCTCCTCCTTCAGAGGGGGAGAGCCTCAGTATAGAGGCACTGCTGCCCCAACTCAAGTGTCCCCAGGCAGAAACGGGAGAAAAACCAGAGCTTGGGATAGAGCTCGGTGAAATCGTACTAGTCAATCCCTGAGCACAGGTCCAGTGCATATGAAACCACTGAATACATTTTAGAGTAATGTCATCATCCATGAGAGTTAAATTAGAGATTTGCCAACTCTCATAGTTCCCTGAAATACTCAAGTCTAGAAAAGAGATTAATGAGGTGGTTTGGGTGGTGTCTAAGATTAGCTACTCATCTCCATCTAGATTTAGATGAATTCCGTTTGGAATATAAGTACAACATGACTTTTGGAGAGACACCCTGCATTTCACCTCTGATAGCCATGCCAGGCTCCCCTCTGCCTCCCTGTCCCTTCCTGCTCTCTCATTAAGGGGTGATCCCTCTCCATCCATCTTTCCATCTCAGTTCTTGAAGATCACCCAAGTTGTGCGTTAATCTCCCTGCCACCATTTTGGTTGACTGGAACCTTTTACTTCAATGTTTATAGCACTGAAGATGTGGTAACAAAGACTTAAAATACAGCAGTTGAAGTAGCTGTGGGATTTCCAGGTGTTGTACTCCAATAAGGAGATGTTACCATCCTCAGTGTATGGCTTCTCTCTTTTGGTCCAGAGTGGTTGCTCTACCACCATCATCCAGAGAGTCGGGAGAAGGACCAGGATGACAGGAATTACTTCTAGACTTTAATAAGTGAAGCATATATTCCATCAGTCACTCACATCCAATTGGTCCCATGGCCATAGCTATTTGCAAAGGAGCATGGGAAATGCAGGCTTTAGCTAGGTAACTAGTTGGTATGGAGGAGGGAATGGATTTCTGGGAAAATGCCAGCTTCAGGTGGAAAGTATAAAAGCTGGCCACCCGTATCAAATTCCACCTCTGTTAGGTAAAAGGCAGAACAGTGAAACAAACAGTTCTCGTTCCCACTAGGCACATATGACTTTAGAGTGGGCATATGTGTACTTATCCTGTGACCTGGTGGCACTCTAAGATTCGTAGCACAGGGACCATATATACAAGGCTTTGTTTAGTAACCCTGTTGAAGTACTCCACACAGTACCTACCTCCAGAGCTCAGTCAGTACCACCAACACAAGAGTGCCTAGGCTTGTGTTCCTCCCTTGTTGTGAACATCTCCTTAAGAGGGAAGAGCCACTAATCAGCCTTGGCCCTCAGTAGTGAGCAGGTCCTGTTTATCCGTGTTGACATCTGTATGTGTTTGCTTGGTTGTTCTTCTATGTGTGTCTCTCGGGGGAAGGAGCAGGCAAGTCAAGCACTTCTGGCCCAAGATTCACCATCCAGTGCAGTTCCTACTGAGGGTGACCAGGTACTTGGTAGATATCATCTTAGTCTCTTATCTGCTTCTTGTGAAATACTACTTTGTCTAAGTGTGTGGTTTCCTAGCTTCATTGTAGTCTCATCTATAGACATGTAGACCCTATAACAGACAAGATTTTCTTTGGTGACATGTAGTCATCATATGAACACCTGTTGTGTGACACTATTCCAGGGAGATGTGAGCAAACATGTACTCACTGCAAATAGGAAACTGGTGACAGACCAAAGTTAAAACACAGTGCAAACAATGACGTCGCTGGGGATATACAAAGGAGGAAAGGTTACTTATAGAAGAATAAACAACCCGACAGGGCTGCATCACCCGGAACAAAGAGCAAGATTGGGCCTGGCAAGGGCTTTTGAGACCTCAAAGCCCACCCCCATGTGATGACTCGTACAATTTGGAACCTTGGAGCACTCTGAGTGACCCGCAGGCTTGTCCACAGGTTAGGTGATTTCTCCAGGCAGCTTGTTTCTCTGAGTCTCCACAATAGTCCTTATTACTTGCATGACCTTGGAGAGGGAGGGACCTTGTGCATTTGGTCAGTTCCAGGGACATCCTGAGATTTATGAGTTGTTTTCCTCCTGAATCTTAAGGAACCTCTCTCTAAGGAGCTTCCGAAGGACAGGGTGTTTTATCTTGGA